AGAAGAGCCAAAAGAAGAGTTTATGCTTACATCTGGATGGGATAACAATCAGATTGGTTCTGGTCACAATAACTTTCTTTCAGAAGCTGAGCAGTTTCAGAAGGTGTCAAATTCAGGACTCAGAATCGACATGGATCCAAGTTTTGAATCAGCTTCTTTTGGTGTTGTGGGGCAGACATTACTAGGCAGTAGAAGACCAGGTGAGAAGAGAAGAACAAAAACAGAAAAGACAATTGGTTTAGAAGTTCTTCGACAATACTTTGCAGGAAGCCTCAAAGATGCAGCTAAGAGCATTGGTGGTAAGAACACTTCTTGTTATAATGTCTGTTGTATCTAATTCTTAGACAGTGATGATTCACACAGTCTCATTCTTATGTTGCAGTCTGTCCAACTACCTTGAAAAGAATATGCAGACAACACGGGATAACACGGTGGCCTTCTCGGAAGATCAAGAAAGTGGGGCATTCATTAAAGAAACTCCAACTTGTTATAGACTCTGTTCAAGGTGTTCAAGGCTCTATTCAACTTGATTCATTCTATACAAGTTTCCCAGAATTAAGCTCCCCACATATGTCTGGTACTGGCACTTCCTTCAAGAATACAGACCAGTCAAGGAATCTAAATGCTCAAACCGAGAACGGTGGTTCGGCACAGGGAACTGCTGCAGCTCCAAAGTCACCACCATCATCTTCTTGTAGCCACAGCTCTGGTTCAAGCACCTGTTGTTCAACTGGAGCTAATCAAAGCACCAACACCGGAAATACCTCAAATACTGTAACCACTTTGATGGCTGAAAATGCTAGCGCGATCTTGAAGAGAGCTCGTAGCGAGGTGAGACTGCATACCATGAATCAGGATGAAACAAAGTCCCTGTCTAGAACCCTGAGCCACAAAACATTCAGTGAACATCCTCTTTTCGAAAATCCACCTCGGTTACCGGAGAATAGTAGCAGGAAGTTGAAAGCTGGAGGGGCCTCAAAAGTGAAAGCCACATTTGGTGAGGCCAAAGTACGGTTTACTTTGCTCCCTACATGGGGCTTCAGAGAGTTGCAGCATGAGATTGCTAGGCGTTTTAACATAGATAATATTGCACCCTTTGATCTTAAGTACCTGGATGATGACAAGGAATGGGTTCTTCTGACATGTGAAGCGGATCTCGAGGAATGTATCGACATTTATAGATCATCACAGAGCCGCACGATCAAGATAAGCGTTCATGAAGCTTCTCAAGTCAAGCTAGGAGGTTCTTTTGGTAGCATCGGTCTTGGTCCTTCGTTATAAGCAATCAGGTAAGTAACAAGGTTGTACCTGCAAGAAGAAAAAGAAAAGAGCAGGAGATTCGACTAATTTACTAGTGTGTTAGAAAAATATTACTTACCATTTGATAGCAATAGGGCATCTCGTTTGTACACATATTTTCAGTGCCCCCATTTTGCAAGCAGCAAGTAGTGGACTGGTTTCCTGCATCGGCTTAGCAGATTTTTTGTATAATAAGGCGATGCGTATACCAGAAACATGCTTATATGTATGTATTTTTATTGTCTGTACATCATTTTGTCATCTGGATTCTACTAAGCTCTGCAAGTATGTTAAATTGATATATCTTCTACATCTTCACTTGTATTTGTTTTCTTACTTAGCTATGCATGAGAGTATCTTAAACATCGCAGTACATATTTAGTTATTCTAGGGAACAAAAGTTATCTATGCACAAACATTTCAGTCCAGAGAAGCCATGGCGAGACGCACCTATTGTAGTGGTCTTCCAAGTTCCTAACAGAGTATCTCTGTTATATCCTCAAATCCTTATGTTTGAAGGAAACAAGTAAGCCTGCAGAAAAAAGGTTCTCGTTTTGGTTTGTTCTTGTTCTTTCTGATTCAGTGAGTGACAAAGGAAGATATTGATCCTGAATTTATCATTGCCACCTAAACTTCAAAGACAGGAGAAAACAACATGGAAAGCAATCAAAAATATAAAAAACTGTGTCAAGAGAATAACTCTTAAGTAACTGATTATAACATTTGGTACTAAAAATCAGGATGACGAAAAGAGTTGATAGACATAACATTGCAAATCTCCGATTCCACATTTGAAGTGATGATTTTGCAAATACTCTGCCTGGTCAAACAATTTGCGGCAATTTTGTAAATATTTGAAGTGAAAATAAGCAAATAATTACGGGGAAAATGTTAAAAGGGTTAAATATTTGGGGGCAAATGTATAAATATCTGAATTGACGATTCTGCAAATATGCCTGATTATCAAATTGTTATATGGAAATATTTTAATGAGATGAAGATTTTGGGACGAATTGTGTAAATACCTAAAATATAACAATAAACGCTTTTCGTCCGCCTCCAGCTCCCAAAAGCCAAAGGGGCGAATCTTCTTCTTCTTCTCTTTCGATCAAAATCTTTTTCAGATTCAAACCCCAAAATAGCAGAGCAAAAATGTCTCGCAGATCGCTAACTCTCCTCAAGAATCTAGCTAGAAACGCGAACGGATCAGGTTTTCAAACCCGATCCGTGACTTACATGCCTAGACCCGGTGACGGAGCACCACGCGCAGTGACGCTGATTCCAGGAGATGGAATCGGACCTCTGGTAACGAACGCCGTGGAACAGGTGATGGAAGCGATGCACGCGCCGATCTTCTTCGAGAAGTACGATGTTCACGGAGAAATGAGCCGTGTGCCAGCGGAAGTGATGGAGTCGATAAGGAAGAATAAGGTTTGTTTGAAAGGTGGGCTTAAGACTCCTGTTGGTGGTGGTGTTAGTTCGCTTAACGTCCAGCTTAGGAAAGAGCTTGACCTCTTTGCGTCTCTGGTCAACTGTTTTAATTTGCCTGGTTTACCTACTCGCCATGAAAATGTTGACATCGTTGTCATCAGAGAGAACACTGAAGGTGAGTATGCGGGGCTTGAGCATGAGGTTGTTCCTGGTGTCGTTGAGAGCCTTAAGGTGAGAATTTTGATTTTGGATTCTGGCCTTCTGATATGGGTTTTAGTGTGATTTCAATCTGAATTTTGTGGTAACTTAGCTTAGAGAGAAGGCTTTTATGATAACTTTTGTAGATGGAATCAAGTTTAGATTGATCTGACATGATCTTGTTAGTGTGGTTTCTCATCAGCTAGTTGCTTATCACTATTGTGTTGGTATACTTTTCGTGTATATTTGCAGATGCAATTTGCTTATCATTTTCGTTTGCAAGTGGTCTTTTTATGTTATGTGTGCTTGTTCTGATCCTATTTCTCTGCTAGGTGATCACGAAGTTCTGTTCCGAGCGTATTGCCAAGTATGCTTTTGAGTATGCCTACCTGAACAACAGGAAGAAAGTTACAGCGGTGCATAAGGCTAACATCATGAAACTTGCGGACGGTTTGTTCTTGGAATCTTGTCGGGAGGTTGCTAAAAAGTATCCGAGCATCACCTACAATGAAATCATTGTTGATAACTGCTGTATGCAACTTGTAGCGAAACCAGAGCAATTCGATGTCATGGTATGTTTCAGAGTTATATACATATGAACTTTCGCATCTATCCATTGGCAATTCATGACAATCTCTAATTCTTCGATATTTTACTTAAAGATAAAGATACATGTCATCTCTCACTAGTTAAGTATCTCTGTTGATTGCCTGTTTTAGGGTCATATTATCTTATTGGTATGAAACTGATGTTGCGTTGCCATATACTAGTTAATCGCCCCATTTAAATATTGGTATGTGACGGGTGATGTGTTGCCACATACTAATTAAACTCATCATTTGCATATCAGGAAAGGGAATTTTTTAAATTGTACTTCTGTGGCCTTGTCTTTGTATTTTTACTACTTTGCCTCTGCTGAAGATAACTTGAGGACAAAGCTACATGTATCTAGCATGGAATTCTCAGTTAATCAAACAACCTGTTTCTTTATTTATATTGCCTTAGTTTGCTAGTATTGCCACCACTATATCGCTTCTGGCTCTTTGTTTTATGATTCATATAAATATGTTATGTTCTCTCTCATTACTTTATGTGCTAGCTTCCTTTGGCTTTTTTTCCCATTTTATAACGGCAATTTATAAAATGTTTTGCAGGTAACGCCCAATCTCTATGGGAATTTAGTTGCAAACACTGCTGCTGGTATTGCTGGAGGCACAGGAGTCATGCCTGGAGGTAAAAAAACATCCTCTATTGATAATCTCATTACACACTCTCGAGCTATATACATTATTAGATAAATAATGATTCTAAAATTTATATATCTGCGACATTAAATACAAAAACAGGAAATGTTGGGGCTGACCATGCGGTATTCGAGCAAGGTGCATCAGCAGGAAATGTTGGGAAAGATAAGATAGTATTGGAAAACAAAGCAAACCCAGTGGCATTGCTTCTCTCATCAGCGATGATGCTAAGACACCTTCAGTTTCCTTCATTTGCTGACCGGCTTGAAACAGCAGTGAAGAAAGTCATCGCTGAAGGAAAGTGCCGGACGAAAGATCTTGGTGGCACAAGCACGACTCAAGAGGTCGTTGATGCGGTCATTGCAAAATTAGACTGACTTTGACAAATTACGTGTTCGTTCCCTCTCTGCTACAGATTTTGTGTTGCCAAAATATGGGGTATGATCCAAGCACAACGGTTATCTGGTTTTGTACCTCGAGTTTTATTATATTCTTTAACCGTCGAAATATTTCGATAAGAAAAAAAAAACATGTTCCAAATAATTCATGTTGCTACGTTTGTTGGCGGCTTTTGTCATTGCAAAGTTTCTAAACTCTTATTCGTGGAATATGCAAACTTTGACGGAATTTTAATTCCAAGAAGAAGAATGAAAAGTTGATGGTATCGTACTGCCAAAGTCTTCAATTGTGTAAGAATGTGAAAACATGCAATTTTCTAAAAACACTTGATGAAACCAACTGATTAAGCGGTAAGACAAATAAGAAAGGGCCTAGGCAACAGGCCCATTAGTAATAAATAGGCCCAACTTGATCCAACGACTTAGGTAGGAAGAGCGAGGCAGAATCCAATTCCTTGTTGATTTTCCCCAATTCGAGGAGGACTGAAAACCCTAGAATTCATAAAATTAGACGAGGAAAAGAAGATGATGCGGTTCCTAGGCAACAATGTTGCTAAGGTAATCTCGAAAAATATTGTCTTTGTGTTGTTTGTCTCAAAAATCTTGTCGCCGTTGTTGGTCATTGAAATTGAAGGAACCAATTTGCAGATTTGTCGGCTGCAGAATCGTAATATTTCATCTGCCAGTAAGACATGTCTCAGTTATATTTGCATAGCAATATCTTTGCTTCGATCAAATTTTGTATTTGTTGATATCTCTGATAGTTTTTGCTTCAATCAAATTTATAGCTGTGACTGCCACCATCGACGATGCCCCTAAGTATTTGTGTAGAGCTGTGGTATGTAATGCGCAATCTTTTTTTTCTTTCTGCTTTAGAAAGCTGGAACTATCTTCGTTTAACATGTTCTTTTGGTCTACTAATTCAGGTGGTTGGGTATCAGCAGTTCAGCACCCGCCTCAAAGTTTCTTCAGGAAACTGAAGAGGTAAAAAAAAATAATGGCACTGGATTTTGCAATCTAAACAAACCTTTGTTGTTTTGTTTATACCATTCCTTTTCTTCTTTGTTTCAGGCGCAACTCCGAATCAAGCGATTGTTGGATAAACACGAAGCCGGATTTGAGGCACCCATGAAATGATATTTTATGTAGGAGTCTAAAAAACAAATATGATTGGATTTTGCTACTTTACGATAATTATTAGTAAATGCAAATATTCAATCACGTTGATATTCAAATGCTGACTGCATAAGTACGGTTCGACTTTAATTGGAAAACAAACCATTACCCCAAAAAAAAAAAAAAACTATAGATATAATTAAATAACTAGTAAATAAAATTATATATAAAGTAGCTCGAACCAAGTTCGTAAAGGATTTTAAAACGCTGATTGAGTTTGTTAATGCTGTGATGCAACTTATTATAGCAAGAACAAACAAACCTATTTCTATTTTAGATTCAAAAAAAAAAAAAAAAAAAACCTATTTCTATTTATCTCTAATTTTTGCTATGTAAAGTTTAAATTATTTTTATTTTCATTTTTCTTTTGTACAAATATGTAAAACTTAAATTAATGGAACAATTAAGAAACTGTGGAATCATGCCTACAAAATTTGCCTAATCTCATCATGTGGTGTATAACTGTATACTGTATAGTCTGTTAATATATATATATATATATATATATATATATAGTATGTTTAATTTTTTTTTTTTTTTTTTTTTTCGTCAATATAGTATGTTTAATCAAGAGTTGTGTGTGGCCTTGCAGGACAAGGACAACAAATGCTCGAGGATGGGGAACATTTATTTAATTATCGTTAACCCCCAAAAAAGTTACTGTAAGCAGTAACAGCTATGTGAATGGAGAAGATTTCGATTCTGTTCATCAAATCATTACACATTTAAGAGAAAAAATAGAGATGCGTGTCCCTTAACATCAGAAAGAGAAATATAGGGCAAATCATTACTTTTTTTTTTCCCCCAACAATCTATGTATATGTGTTCAAGATATAGCAGAACTAGTGAAGTATCCAACTATTCTCGAAAAATAGTATCATAACTAATTAAACTAGTGTTTGACCAAAAAAAAAAAACTAATTAAACTAGTATTCAAATATTCTTTATAAAAATCATTGATCACTTCAACAAAGTGGGATAAAGTGAGTAAATTTGAAAATGTCAGTGTCTTTCCATATGAAAAATGTTTTAGTTATCAAAAGTAAATAAAACATAAGTAAGTTTTCAAATTCTTAATATCGATAGGGTATTCTTCTTACAATAAAACTCCTGATTCATTCTATATAAATAAAAAAATCTGAAGGCATCCATTGATTCAGCTAGAATCAAGATTTTAGAATGCATATTAAACTATATAATATTCCGGTAATAATTTCATGAGACAAGTGTGTGTGTATAAATAACGAATTTAAGAGTGACATGTAAGGTAGTTTGTTTAGGTTTAGGCCCTGTTCTAAAAATCCCCGCCTAGCCCCGATTACTTCCCGCTTAATCGCTAGGCCCACCCTCTCCGCCTCGATTAATGACTAATCCCCTAAGAAATCAGTAACCCGATTATTCTCCGTCTAATCCGATTATTTTCTGCCTAATCCGATTATTTCCCGCCTAATCTTACATACCCCGATTATTTTTTAGATTACAAGTATAAAAAAAACATTTTATTTTTGTTATTCAATCATTTGAATTGGGAATTTGTGATGTTTTACATAACTTGTGTTCAAATTTTAATAAAAATCATAAAAATTTGTTTTTACTGTAATTTTGAAAACAATATTGAATTAATATATTTTAAAAATATTAAAATAACCCTAAAACTAATCTCCGATTAATCCCCGATTTTAATCCGATTTTCCGATTAATCGTTAGGCCCATGCTGAACGCCCGACTAGCGCCTAACGATTTTTCAAACAAGGGGTTTAGGTAGCTAACGTATATCATCATTAACATAAAGGAAAAGAAGAAGCTAAGGAAGATATGATTAAAGAATGCAAACAGATTTGCATACATTTTGAGATAGTATCGAGACTACTTAGAGCAACATTATCAATGGTCTCTTAGAGCATGATTAACGGTGGTATATATGAGATTTTTTAAAAGAGAAAAAAATAATAATATTTTAATTTTATAATTATATTTTAATTTTTTAATATAAATTGACCATTGATACAGCTCTACGTGTCTTAAGGTTTGTAAGCTTGTCTCTTATGTAAGAGCTTTTATTGCTTCTCTCTCTTCTTTCTCTTAACCTTTTACTAATTTTCTTTTTTTTTTATTGTTAAGAATTATATTAAGAGACTAATGTTAATGGTGCTCTTACAACTCTTAAGTTAAGAGATATGTCTTATAACTAAAAAAAGTCTCTTAAAGTCTCTTAACTAAGAGATTTTTGTTAGTTATAAGACATATTTCTTAACTTAAGAGTTGTCTTAAGAGACCATCAATAAAGATGGTCTTAGTGCACAAACTTAAGACCAGTTTCGGAGTTGGCACTGTACCCAATATTTTGGACAAAACCATAAGCTCTTTAATTACAAAACGAGTTGCAAACTGTTTTCAAGATTGAAAAGGGGAAGATCAAGCACCTCACCACCACTTGTTGGATTTCCTTTGGAGTGCTTCCCACATCTTCTTCATCTCTTCGTCGACTTTGGCAACAACTTTTTGGATGGATTCTTCATTGGAAGCAGAAACCTCCTTCAACGCCTTGTCCATGGCTTGTTTACTATTCATGATAACCTCCTTCAACGCCTCCTCCAACGTAAATGATACGAATCCGGTGATACCTAAAATATTTAAATAATTAAAAAATTGCAAAGAAGATCTCATAATAATAAAATATAACTGAAAGATGGATGTTTGTTGTTGCATTTGGTTCTTGTACATGATATGTACTAACAGACAAAATGACATAGAAGATCCGAGATCAGAAGCTTCACCGGAAAGCACAATCGTAAACTCTCCGTTAATTTCAGTGCTATTTTCTGTTTATTATCTTAATTAATTTAATTAATTCTTAAAAATCAAAAATAAGGTAAATGAGTGCTATTTTTGTCAAATAAACTTAGGGATGCTATTTTTGTCATAAAAACTTCATTTAGGGCTATATGAGACCATTTCTCTTGTTTTAACAAAATCAGTTTTTGTAATATAATTATCAAATTAATTTTCTTTAACTCTCTCTTATCTCCAAAAAAATTGTAAATTGTAATACAATTTTTTAGTATACTCATCATTATATTTAGTTTTATTGATTCAACATATAATGACATAAAGATCATTAAAAATTTTATTTAATTCAAATTTTGTAGTGTAAGGATTTTTCTATATATATTAAAAACAAAATTTGATATTCCATTTCCAATTAGCTTGTAATATAAAGAAGATGAAATCATTTACTACAAAATGATTTCTTCACAATGAATTCTTTGGAATGTAACATAAAAATTTATGATATAAATACAATTAAATTTACTCATAAATGACATTCAAACATGATTGTGAAAGTTTTATCAAAAACAAAACATGATTGTGGAAGTTAAATAGTTATCTAACGTAATTATAATTTTATTAAAAAAAATCCCTATAAATATTAATACACACATCTCACAAACAATGATATTCCAAGTTTTCTATTATTGGTAAATTGTATAACATTTTTTCTTCTAATTCAACAAATGTTGTTTCAATATATATATTTTTGTCACTTTTGTAAGAGATTGTGAAGAGGAGGTGACATGCAACCAAGAAATCCTATGCACGGTCAATCGTTTGTGCTACTTTAAATGTCTTTCAAAAAAAGAGAGTAGAGAAAATGCATTATTGTAGGTTTTTTTTGCCGAAAACATTCATTATATTCAATCTATATTAACCTAAATTTGGGTTGACTCAAATAAATTTGATATTCTTGCAGAGAGATTAAATAAACAACATAAGTCTCAAGTGAAGGGCAATATTCCAAGAGAGTTGATGGTGGAGGTAGACGTTGAATTGTATAGAATAGTCATTTATCTCACGAATACAATGACTATTCTCACGAATTAAATTAATCTACTATATACAATGAATGTTATTTTTCAGATGGTTATCTTTTGGTCGTTTAAATTTAGTAATGCTTTGGAAGAAGGCAAGTGAAACATATATTGAACCAAGTTGTAATCTCAAAAATATTAAGTGAAAGTCTTAAGTCTATATATTGATATGTTCACTATCTCATTCATCTGTTATTTTTATTTATGCGTTATTATTGTTGTTTTGTTTACAATATATATATTATTGTTTGTTTTACATAAAGAAAAAATGTATACAATAACCCACGCGTCAAACATCTAGTATATATCTAAACGAACTCAACTTTTTTTAAGAGATACTTTCACCATTTCAATGTTAAAATGTGAACAAGTACCGTCACTTTAGTAAATTAAAAATTCATAAGAATTGTGGGCCCGTAAGAGTTTTGAGCCCAAATCCGACCCGTAAAAATATACAAGTGACCCAAGTGATATAAAAGTTTTCTTAATGGAAAAATAATATTGATTAATTCCGTGGCAACAAATGAAAGCCAATCCGATTTCAAGAAACGAGCTGACGTGGTCAAACTCATATCAACTGTGTCTCTCTATCTATCTCTCTCCCTCACTTCTCTCTCTCTCTCTCCTCTTCTCCTTCAACTGGTGATGGCTGCTCTCAGGCTACCCACTCAGCTTGTTACACGTGGTACACTCGACTACCATAATTCCTCTCCTTCCTCAGCCACCGCCGCTTCCTCCGGACGTCTCTCTTGGCGACGTTCTCTCACACCGGAAAATTCAATCTCGCTCTTCCCATCTTCCTCATCCTCATCCCTTAACCGGGAACGATTAATAGTAGTTCCGGTTACATGCAGTGCGGCAGCGGTTAATCTTGCTCCGGGGACACCAGTCCGACCCACGAGCATCTTGGTGGTTGGAGCCACTGGAACTTTGGGAAGACAAATCGTCCGGAGAGCTTTAGATGAAGGTTATGATGTCAGGTGTTTGGTCAGACCAAGACCAGCTCCCGCCGATTTCCTCCGTGATTGGGGCGCCACCGTCGTCAATGTACGTATTCACATCTTCTTTTTTAAGTTTACAAAAGTCTTTTGATTTGTCTAAGAGAGAACCAAACCGGAGTTTTGTGTCGTGTAGGCGGATCTTAGTAAACCAGAGACCATTCCAGCGACTTTGGTCGGAATTCACACTGT